TAAAATTCACAATGCAATGGTGGGGGATAATGGTTGTTTTGAATGGACGATTGTGATTAGCTAAGGTGGGTGGTTAAAAATTTTGGAGAGAAATAGATAGTTTACATCTCATAGTTACTATAGAGTAAATATACTTAGTTGGGTACTACGGTAGCTTAAGGAACAAATTGGATGTACACTATATTGCAAAGAGATATGAAGCAAATATCAATTTGGTTGATTCTATGGATGTAACAAAACAACCTATACAAAGAAAACAAAAATAAGAACTTAAGAAAAATAAATGTGATTAAAGCAATGATAGGGCTTTGTTGCTGCAATAATGCTTTAGACGCTGCTCATTGACTTTAAATGTGCTTCCATCCACCAAGTTCTTTAGTTATACAACTCCATGAGGGAAAACTACAAGAGCTTCAAAAAGGCGCGACCAACGAGATCGGAACTTCCCAGGAAATAAGTTCAATTGCAAATTAAATAGTAGAATTTATTGTCCAATGATGAAATTCCAAAGAAAAATATGTTGCTCATGCCAGTTCTTTCTCTTTTCTTTGTAAATGCATGAACTCTCATAGGTGTTGTTTCGGAGCTCCTCTAGCTCATTAAGCTCTAACATTCATTTTTCGCCTGCAATATCTAGTTTAAAGTTTAGCTTCTTCAACGCCCACATAGTTTTATACTCCAGCAAATGAAAGTTTTGTCGTGCACAAGATGATAAGAAGACATCCGTAATGGAATCTTATAAACACTCTTATAAGACCATAGTTCTTCTTCAAGGTATTGTGACTTATCTTTTCTAGAATGATTCATAACCTTCTCAAGAATTTGCTTGATTCCTAATCGGATACCTTAGTTTGACCATCGGTCTATGGATGATATGCTGTAGCAATCTTATGCTTCACACTATATCAGTTCATTGCTCTAGCAACTTGATTTGCAATGAATTGAGACCTTTCATCACTGATAAATACATGGGGTGTTCCAAAGCGAATGAAAATATTTTTTTGCATAAAACATAAGAATACTTTAACATTTCTATTTGGTAAAGCTACAACTTCCACCCACTTGGAAACATAGTCAACAACAACTAAAATAAAAAGGTTGCCAAAAGAAGATAAGTATGAACCCATAAAATATAATCCCTAGACATCAAAAAGTTTGATCTCCAAGATAGGTTGCATTGGTATTCCATTTCAAAGGAGAAATATTTAATTTTTCCTGGCAGCGATTACAATGCCTTACAAATTCATTGTCATCTTTGAAAAGTGATGGCCAATAGTAATGACATTCAAGCACTTTCACTGCTGTGCGTATACCACCAAAATGACCTCCATACGGGGCATTATGGTAATATTGTAGAATACTTTGCCTCTCACACTCAGGAATACACTACAACATGGGTTGATCATTGTATTATTTAAATAAATATAACTCGTCCCAATGGTTTTACCTCACATCCCTCATAAATTTTTTCAGCCTTGATAATTTAGATTGGGTGGAATCATCCCAATGACTATATAGTTGTCGAAATCAACATACCACAGTAATAAAGTAGCAGCAAGTAATCGTTCATCAGGAAAATCATCTTGAATTACTAAAATGGTTCCATCCTCAATACATATTCTAACATAGATAAGTGATCAACCACGTGATTTTCAGATTCCTTATTATCTCGAATCTCATTATCAGATTCTTGCAGTAATCAGAACAACCTAGGCTTTGTATCCTTATTGTCAAACAAATACGTTAGCGCCAACTAGTTAGTAAAGATGATTACTTTGGTGCACACTAGGTATGAACAAAATTTGTTAAAGGAAAACATCACTGTATGTAACTCCTTCTTAGTTGTGGTGTAATTAACATGAGCATCATTTAATGTCCTGCTCGCATAATGTATAGCGTGAAACACTTTTCTTTTTGCTACCCCAACACTACACCTACGACAAAGTCACTAACATCACACATTAACTCAAAGGGTAGATTTCAATATGGTGATACAACGACTAGAGCATTCACTATCTTCATCTTGATTGTCTCAAAGGACATAAGAACTTCCTCATCAACAACTAACTTTCTATTTTGCTCCAGCAATAGACATAACGGTTTAGCGATATAAGAAAAATCCTTAATAAATCTTCTATAAAAACTAACATGACCAAAAAAGTTTCAAACTACCTTTACATTAGTTGGAGGTGATAATTTCTCAACAACTTCCCTTTTTCCTTATCTACTTCAATGTTGCGGCAGGAAATACGGTGCCCAAGCACTATACATTCCGTGACCACAAAATGGCATTTTTCCCAATTCAAAACTAAATTAGTCTCTTCACATCTCCTCAAAACTACAACCAAATTATTGATGTGATTCTCAAAATCTTATCCAAACATAAAAAAGTCATCCACGAATACCTCAAGATAATCTTCAATCATATTAGATAATATGGCCATCATGCAGTGGTGGAATGTCGCTGGAGCATTGCATATCCCAAATGGCATAATACTGAAAGAAAATATACTATACGAACATGTGAATGTTATTTTCTCCTGGTCCTCCAGTGCTATAGAATTTTGATTCTAACCACTATACCCATCCAATAAGTAGTAAAAAGATTTGCCAGTAAGATGATCTAGCATTTGGTTTATGAATGACAATGGGAAGTGGTATTTTTTCATCACTTTGTTGAGCTTCCTATAGTCCATATATATTCTCCAACTTGTACTAATTCATTTTTATCATTTGCCACCACAATAATGTCACCTTTTGTTGGAACGCACTGCACAAGGCTAACTCAATTACTATATGAAATCAATATAATCCCAAAATCCAACCATTTGATATTTCCTTTCTAACCACTTCCTTCATGATTGGATTTAATCTTCGCCGATTTTGAAATGAGCTACCATTAAGGTCTTCCAAAAGAATTTTGTACATGCAAAATGATGGATTAATTCCTTTTATATCAACAATGCTCTAGGCAATAGCTCTTTTGTACTGCTTCAGCATATTAATAAACTAAGCTTCCTGCGATGCTATAAGTTGTGTTGCCATAATGAATGGCAATGATTCATTCTCTCCAAGGTAAGCATATTTCAAATGCTTTGGCAAATGTTTCAATTCAAGCTTTGGTAGTTCCTTAATAGATGCTTTGGAGCTCGAACATTATCAAGCATTTCTAGAAGTTCAATTTCTACAGATAATTGCTACAACATTCACATTCGACATCATCAAATAATTCCTCGGTAGTGACCAAATTACTAGTGTCTATATTTGTGCTGCAACATTCTTCGCAGTGCTCTTGTGCAAAAACATCAATCACATCTAGTGAAAACATTCATCACTATCATTTACGTAAGAAGTATCATTCAAAATATTAGAAGTACTATGCTCATCGTTTAAACGCATAGTCAATTCTCTCTTTTCAAGATTAATTAAAGCTCAACTCGTGGCAATAAATAGGCGACCACAAATAAATGGAACATCTTTATCCTCTTCATAATAAAAAAATGATGAAGTTCGTGGGGAAAACAAACTTGTTTACTCCCACGAGCATATTTTCCACAATACTACTAGGATACAAGGTAGAGGGATTAGTAAGTTGTAAAGTGATCGTAGTGGGCCTTGCTTTGTTACTCCCAAATTTCCTAGATTGATAATGGCATTAGATTTATTCTAGCACCCAAATCATATAAAGCTTTACCTGAAAATGTATCACCAATATTGCAAGAATAGTAAAACTCCCTAGATCTTTAAGCTTTGGTGGTAATTGAGCCATAGCACTATATCATTCGGTAACAACGACAATCTCAAATTCACCAAGTCTTTTTTTATTTGAAAGAACTTCATGAATTTTAGTAATTCGGATATTTCTCTAAAGTATCAATCAACAAGATGTTAATTGTGAGTTGGCGAAGGACCTTAATAAAAGCATTGTATTGTTGATCTTACTTTGTCTTTTTGAAGTGTTGTGGAAATGGTGGAGGCATCTTTGGTTGTTGTTGTTGAGGCATTGAAGTTCATAGAGAGTAAGATGTAATAGGTGTTGATGTTGGCATTTCCTCTGAATTACTACATTGTTTTGCATCTAATGATGTGGTACGAATCACAGGTGACTCTGATTCAACATTTTTGTTTTTTCCCTTATCATGCTTAGGAACCTCCACATAATTCTTCCTAGACTCCTCAATTGGCTCCCCAATATGAATTTCACTCCTTGTAGTGATGGCTTTGCAATGCGCTTTACCATTTTACTTTGGATTTTCAGTCACTATGCAATGTTCCTTGCAACCAATTATTAAGAGCATTTGCCATTTGTCCCATATGATTTTCTAGAGCCCTTAATAAGGCTGATTGGCTCTCCATATACCCTTTCATCAAAGTTTGAAGAAATGATATAGTTGAATTTCTGGTTAACGATTGACCTTGATACGTTTGCCTTTATTGTGCTGAGCAACATGATGTACTTGTAGTTATGACACCAATTGTTGTTGATTGTAATGATATTGCTAATAATATTGCTAATGAGGATTAGAAACATTCTGACTTCTCCAAGAAAGATTGAGATGGTTCCTGAAATTAGCTTTATATGTTTTTCCAAAACCATTATCATTCATTTCATAATTTCTCACATAATAGATATACTTCAGATTTTGAGGCATTAATCAAAATTATGCTTATCACCACATTAAACATAAATGAAAAGAGATAAAACTTTGACTTCATATATTCCCCCTGGTTTTTGTATTTTTTTCACCATATTCGTCAACATTGAAATCTAAGATGCCATAGAGTTGAAAGCTTCAAAATATACTATTGCACCATTGCATCAGTCCAATATATTCCTTATATTAGGGTATTGGCTATCATTAGTTGAGATCATCTCTAGAATATCGTAAGACACAATATATGTCTTATATAAAAAATCTTAGTTCGCTAAAGCATCGACCACCATACGAGTATGTATGTTTAACCCATTATAAAACATCTCTATTTGGATCTAATGTTATAACCCATGCATAAGACACTGCCACAAGAAATCCTTGAATATTTCTCATGCTTCATAGGAGGTTTCATCCACTATTTGCTTAAATGAAGTTAGATCATTTTGGAGGTTGGCATTCATGTTTTCAGGTTGAATCGTAACAAAAATTTATGTGCTAACTCATTCCAGGTTATTATAGAACCTGATGGAAATGAACTTAACCAAGCTCATGCTTTGTAACGCATGGAATAAGGAAATAATTCAGTTTCAGTGCCTCATCTGGAACACCTTGCTGAATGAAGGAATCACAAACCTCCATGAATGCTCTCAATGAGCCCTAGGATCTTTAGTAATAGACCCTCCACATTGTCCCATAGATTGTAATATTTGGAGCACAAGCAGCTTTAACTTGAAGTTCATATCATTAATCATTACCTCACTATGCTTGGATATAGATCATCCAGCGTTGTCACTATATGCTCACAGATAGGGCGATATCGGTCATATATTTTTCAAAATGGTAGTCCCACTCTAATGCCAGTGGGCAACTCCTCATCCTCTCTATTTTACAAGGGGGTTAAAATACCATTCCCTTGTCAAACCATATTTGTTCTATTCTTTGCAGCTTCACGGTGACATCTCCTAAAAGTATTTTCAATCTCTAGATCAAATGGCTCTAAATATTCGTCGCTTCGGAGCATACACTAGTATAAATAAAAGCAAAAAAAGAATACCTATAAAAGAAAATAACAGAGTAAGCAAAATAAAGAAAACCCTAAATCAAACCAATACTCCCCGAAAATGGCATCAAAAACATGATGCTCAATAAAACGCTACAACTTAAGTACAAGTGCACACCAATGGCCAAGTAATAAGAAGTAGCTCAAAGAGCTACGGGTATCGAATCCACAGGGAGCAAAATGTTTTATTTATAGTTTTTAAGCATTAAAGAAAGATGGGTATGAAATCGATACTAAGTAAAGGAAATAAGAATAAAGGTAAGAAACACCAGTTCATGTTACAAAAGTACAAAGAGCATTAAGTTAGCTACCAAATTGAAGGGAATGATATTATGGACATCATATTTTAAGTAAACATAGCATAATACAACTATGTGATTAGCATTTATTAAGACCCTTTGAACTTCTCTAATCACTTTCATAATTAATGGTTCAAAGTATTAACAAAGCCAATTGATTGGATGCATGCTTTTCAACATACACATTGTTGCTTAGGGATACCAATGCCATCAAAAGTTCACAACAAATAAACCAAATCTATTTCTATAAAGTAATGAAAAATACCATACATTTAATCAAAGTATTTCTACTCATATTCATGAAGTAACAAACACATAAAACTAGTAACAAAATAACCATTAAATATTCAATCCAAAATATCATCCATAAAGTTTAGAAAACATCCAAATCACACCCTTTCTCAATAAAAGGCTTCGAATGGTGATCTTTTGACCGTCGATGCTACTTAGCAAGCTCTCCTTGTGTTGCAGCAATCCCTGGAAAGGGGGCTTAAGCTTCCTTGGCGTATGAAGGATCAATGTGGAAAAAAGGTACTTTATAATGGCTTTTGATCGTCACCCTTTTTACGATTAAAAGTACTCCCATTTATAGCTTTGAGGAGATTTTCATCCTCTTATATAAAGCTTCCATGTTTCAGTAGTTTTAAGCCCACTGACAGCTTTCCAAGCCAGTTGTCCTATCAAGAAAGTTCTCCTAACTGTCCAGAGATTTATCGGCTATTGTAGCATCTGCTTATCATTTCTTATAGTGCTACAGCATTGTGTAACTTTTTTGCAGCAACAAAATTGAAATTAAGCACTAAGCAACCCAAAAAGTAACTAATATGCAAAAAGTGTAAAAATTAAACAAATATAATCCTAAAATGCTCAAGTTCAAACTAAACCGAGGTGAAAAAGGATACAAAAGACAAATTTTTTGGAGAGTTATCAGAAGGCTTACTTCAGTCATGGTTCACTAGAGCACTTTGTTTAAGAAAACCCTGAGGCAGGCAGTGCAGCGCCATCGACTTCCCAAAGATCAACCTAGTCAGTTTATAAGGGTCGAGGATTAGTCTATAGAGATGGTAGCTTGGAAGCATGGCAGTAGAGTAGGGGCACTACCCGATCTGTAGTCGGTCATGAGGCTAAGGTTACTTTGAGGAAGTACGCAGTGAGCACCTAGGAGGACTGCGAGCCAATAGACATTATCTCAACTATATTTACTATTCATAGTGCACCAGTTACAACGTTGATTGATCCTGATTCTACTCATTCGTACTTGTGTCATGAGCTTGTTCAAGAGTGGGGTATTCCAGTCGATGTCCTCGAGATTAAGATGAGAGATTCGAACCCCTTAAGACTAGATGTGCTTGTGGACAAGGTCTATCGTAGGTGTCTGATAACAATTCAATGACAGGTTTTCTCCACTGACCTTATTGTCGAGAGTTCAATGTTATCTTCGGAATAGATTGGTTGACCGGGAATAAGGTGAGGTTAAAGTGTAAGACTAGGCAACTCAAGCTTAGACACGAGGATGGTACTAAAGTGGTGATGGCTAGTGGTGAGTTTCTTAGTACCTATAGGATCATTTTATCCTTAACTACTTAGAGATTAGTTAGTTAGGGATTCAAGGCATTTTTATCTCATGTGATAGACACTCGAGTTTTGAGCCCAAAGCTCGATGGCATCCGTTTTATGAGACATTTCCCCTCGATATTTCCAGAGGAGTTACATACCTTGTAAGATTCGCCCGAGAAGGATGGTGTCATTTGTTGATGAGGCTATGCATCGACTATCGCCAACTAAACAAATTAATGATCAAGAATCGATATTTGATTCAGAGGATTTCTTGTAATACTCAAAATTTTTAGTTAGTGACTTAAATGTAAGTTATAAAAGTTTAGTGGATAAAGTCTAAACTTTGTAAAAGTTTAGAAACCAAAAATGTAAATTTAAAAGTTATATATTGTAGCATGTAAATGAACAATTTGTTCTAAAAAATTTTTTTTATGGTAATCATATTTTTAGTACGATACTTATGTTAAAAGCTATAAAGTGAGAAAGTTCAGTATAGAAATCGAATAATCTGATACAACTAAACTTTAATGAAAATTTAAAGGATGATAGATAAGTGTTGGAAAAGTTTTTTTTCCATATTTTAAATTTGAGAAATTTAGTACAAAACAATGTAATTTTTCAGATTTAGCTGAACATTGGAAATTTAATAACAAAAAAGCAATTTTTTGAAAATTACATGCCCAAGGTAGAAAGTTAAAGTCGAATTAGTTTTTCTTTTACTATGGAATATTTTAATGGAAGATAATGTATTGTCATTTGGTAATTATCAAGTTTCATTAATGGCAATTTTGGGATTTCTCATTAATTGAATTCAAAATTCAATTATAATATTAAGCCAAGTGTATAAGAGGATAATTACAAGAATACTCAACACGTTTTTTTCATCTTCTCCATCTTAGGTCGTGAGCTCCATTGATGCAAGTTAAGGATTTTTTGTTTTGATTTTTAAGCTTACATGATTGACTTTTGGATTAAGCTATTAGATAGATAATTAATCTACATGAAATTCTCTATCATATGGTATAAATATTTCACGGTGAACATGCATATTTCATGAGATAAAAATTTGTGTTTATGGATTTTGAAGGATTACTGAAAGATTATTATATTTTTTATGTTGGAGATTAATTCCAAGTCATTTGTGATTATTAAAATGATATCTAAAGCCTTTTAGTTGATTCAACCATGTTAGGGTTTTAAGGAAAGATTGGATTTTGACACCCCTAATTCCGGGTTAGGAGTTTTGGGCTAAATCGATATAGTCCTTGGATTATTTCCCTAGCTTGTAGGAAGAATTGACCTGATTTGAGGTGGATTTGAGATTGAGTTAATCCCAATAGAGAGTAAAGAAAAGGATATTTTTAGTTTATAGCAAAAATCATAAGGACCAAGAGGGTAATTAGACCATGGTTCTAATATAAAGTTAAAATTATTTAATTGGATGTGATATCACGTCTGAAACACAAGGCTCATATTTTCTTCACCTTTGTCTTTTTCTCCCAAAATATGTCTTTCATCTTTTTCCTTTTCTTGTGAGAAACCACGCTAAATTAGGTAACTTTAGTTTATTCCCAACAGTTTATAGCAAGCTAAGGTAAGCAATAAACTACTCTCCTTTTAAGCTTCAATTCAAGCTCCCAAACACAAGGTTTGGCCATGGTTTACAAATGTGCTTTGACAGGTTTAAGGAGAAAGAAAATTCCAGCTTGGTTACAATAATTTCTAGCTTATGTAGTGCTTTTACAACCCTTTTTCACCATTAAAATCATCTAGTAATGCATTATTTGATATTTTTCTAGTGAGAGAGATTGGAGAAAGATCTAAGGCCAAGGGGAATGAGAATCTTACTTTGGGTTGAGATTTTAGCATCTCCAACAATCTAAACACACAAGTAACTCACAACTTATCTATACCATATATAGTTCATCTAGATGACATTTGGTAAGTAGCATATGCTTGAATCATTCATGGTAGATTGCATCGTTTGGGTGTTTTCAGCTTGTTTACATACGCATGATGACCTCTATTATCACATAAAGTATCTAAACATCATTGGGGACCTCAATGGGTGGGTATGGAAATATAGGATTTTTGTTCCAAAACAAAGTACCTAACAGTGACGAAATCAATACTATAAGAATAATATCGATATTGTTCTTCATTCAGGCATAAAATAGGTAGTTTTATAAGGGTAGTATCGATACTCATTCATTGAGTACCGGTACCAAGGTAGGAGTATCGATACTCCCCATAGGGGTATCGATACTGGGTATTTTTCAAAACATCGAACTAAAAGTTGGTATCAATACTTTGTAAAGTATCGATACGCAACACCATAATATCGATACTCATATGAGGGTGTTGATACTACCTTGATCTAAAAGCTAGGTCAGTAAGGGGTTATCGATACCAACAGGTGGGTATTGATACCAAAAGTTTAGCATTGATACTGAAGGGTCAGTATCAGTATCCACGAACATATTTTAATAAATAATACAAGAATTTAGGGATGAGACCCGAGGTACCCCAAATACAC